ATGCATGAGTTCACTTGTAACTCCCCTCTTTTGTGTCTATTTGTGTGTATTTGTGTGTGTCTGTGTGTGTTTGTGTTTGTGTGTGTGTGTGTGTGTGTGTGTGTGCATGTGGCCTGTCTCGGTGTGTGCTGCTGGCTGGCCGCATGCGGACAAGAGGCGACAATCGACAGGAGTCTCTTCTCTCGGCCTACCCTTTCGCTCTGGCCCTAACAACCTGGCGACCGGAGACATGCTGCTGATGTCGTCCAAGAGGCACATGTATCGCCCACCCTTCATTCGTACTTCCCTCCTGTACCAGGTCGCTGACCTCGGTATTCCTAATTTGCGGAGTAAGACTGGTGCCTCTTGGCGCTCGTTCACTCGGCACCGCTTCGACTCTCTTCTTGCCCCCCAACTCAGACGCACGCAGCCGCGACGTCGTCGCGCATCCGCAGCTCCGTCTGCCCATCCTCGGGGCTCGGCTCGACTCGGCTCGGCTCAGTTGGTACAGGTCCTGCCGGAGAAGGGGGATCTTCTCTTTTCTCTTTGTCTCGAAGCACAAAAGTCACGATCCGAAGAGGTGCATTCTTCTTAATTGTTGAGCTCACTTCCATTTCGATTGAAAGTGTTCGGTAAAGACGGCAAAGGCGGGGTCCTCTTGGGATGGATCTGTAAGTCTCTTTGGCAAACACTTCTTACTCGAAGTGGAGATTCCTCGAAGCCCAACTTTTATTCGCATCCCATTTGAGCATTAGATTGCTCTTGCATCACCTACAGTCTTCACTAGCTCTGTCCCGGGGTGACTCGGGCAATCTCGCTGCATGAAAGTGAAAGCTTTACTATTCAGTTTGGGTGGGTTTCGAAACAACCAGTTCATTTTGAATGAGACCCATGTTTACTCGAAATGATGAATTTTCCCACACTCATATGGGCAAGTTCCAAGCTCCCATTACACACATTTCATACAACATTGCCTGAACCGATCGCACCATACCTGAGCTGGACTCGAGCCCAGATTGTGATGGCGCATTCTGATCACTGTGCCAGACTTTCACAGGGGACGTGTGAACTCCAAAAAAGTTTAGACCTTTCCCACATCACATTTGTGTGACTGCATTGTCGAAGAAGCAAGGTTGTATTTGCCATAGCAATCGACTACAGAATTTATTTTTAGTTTGTTAGTAGGTTTTCGAGCTGGCCTGTTTGCATTGAATAGGGGCTGTATTCACTCAAGTTTTCGCCAGTTCAGGCAACGTCGACGCTGCAGTCCACTTCAACCTGAATTAGAACATTCTTTGGGAAGCATAGCTTTGTGAAATGTGTATGGAAACCTTGGGACTACTCATCAAATTGCGGTGAAATTCAACTATCAATCCCTCATCACCTCATGCGAAATGGGAGTTTTAATTGGTAGGAAGACTTATCGGAACGCATGGCAAATCATAAACTTGGCATTAGGGATAGAGTAGAAGTGTTGGGTGAAGAGATTCTAAGGTCGGTTG